GCTCAAACACAGCAACAATTGTGAGGATGGTGCAGGGCCGGGCAGTGTTTTGTTCTATTGTACATAGGGTCGCTATGAGTTGGAACTGCCTTGATGGTGCCTGACAACAACAATGTAAGAGAGATTTCATATAAGTGAGATCATACAATTTTTGTCTCTTTGTGAGTTATTTCGCTCATGATTATAGCGCATATGCGGAAATTTTTGCCTGCTGCCTATTTGTGTAAATAAAGTTTTATTGACACACAGGTATGCCCATTCATTTAATATGCTGGCTGTGGCTACTCTTGTGCTACAGTGGCAGAGTTGAGTAGTTGCACACAGACTGTGTGGCCTGTAAAACTGAAAATATATACTATCTGGACCTTTACAGGAAAGGTTTGCCAACCCTGTTGTTTGTGTGGTTGGGTGCCATCAAGTCGATACTGACTCATGGCGACCCCATGTGACAGAGTAGAACTGCCCCATAGGTTTTTCTTGGCTGTAATCTTTACAGGAACAGATCGCCAGGTCTTTGTCTTACAAAGCTGCTGGGTGGGTTTGAACTGCCAATCTTTTGGTTAGCAGCTGACTGCTTAACTGTTGCACCATCTGGGCTCCTTTTGCCAACCCTCGTTCTGGGGTGATGATGACACAGAACCCAGAGATGGCTGTGATATGTTTAGGGGAATAAGCAACATCAACATTGTCATTGTTAGCTGCTATTGAGTTGGCCCCCGACTTGTGGTAACCCTATGCATGGTGGGACAAAATGCTTCCTGATCCTGTATGGTCCCCATGATTGGTTGTGGATTGGCCCTTTGGGATCCATAGGATTTTCACTGACTGATTTTTGGAAGTAGATGACTAGGTCTTTCTTCCTGGTTCATCTCAGTCTGGAAGCTCCGCTGAAACCTGTTCAACATCCTAGCAACACGCAAGCCTCCAGTGACAGACGGATGGTGGCTGTGCATGAGGTGCATTGCCTGGGAATTGAATCCGGGTCTCCCATGTGGAAAGTGAGAATTCTACCACTGAACCAGCTCTGCCTCATAACAACAGAATATATATGTATATATATCCATTGCTGTCGAGTTGATTCTGACTTACAGCGACCCTGTAGAACAGAGTAGAACTGCTCCAGAGAGTTTCCAAGCAGCAGCTGATGGATCTGAACTGCCAGCCTTTTGGTTAGCAGGCAAATGCTTAACCACTGCACTACCAGGGCTCCACCAACAAAATAGCCAACATTAATTGAGCACTGTCTTAGGGTTCTATAGAGAAACAGAACCAGTGAGATGTGTGTGTGTGTGTGTGTGTGTGTGTGTGTGTGTGTGTGTGTGTATACACACATGTAAATATAGTTAGAGAAATTTATTTCAAGGGATTAGTCTTGCAATTGTAAGGGCTGGGAAGTCCAAAATCTGTAGGTCAGGCAACAGGCTGGAGACTTCTGCAGCCTTGTGTCCTGAGATCCCCAGGCCTGTTTATAATCTGAAGGCAGACCACACCTCTAGGAACTCCTCTTTCTATTGATTGATTGATTACATTAGATTGTGTTATGGAAGGTGATTAGATTACATTATGGAACAGCAGTTAGTCTAGTGTTTGGCCAAACCACTGGGAACCATAGCCTAGCCAAACTGACACAGAAAAATAACCATCACCCCTCCCCCCGCTATGTGCTAGGAATTAGTTGAGTGCCTGCCCTGCATAACCTCATTCATTCTTCCTCCTAGGTTGTGCAGTAGGGGAGGAAATGGAGCCTTGGAGTTGTGCTAGAGGGTGGGCGGCCCTGTTTAACTAGGCTGGGGATGCAGGGGCGTGGTGCAGGGGATGGAGGGGCGGAGCCTTGAGGCTGTGAGTGGGAAGTGTAGGGTCAGCGGGAGCCATGGAGGGTGTCGGAGCCTGGGAGGGACGACTTTCAGGAGAGTGGGTACACAGGCCGTTTGTCTACGGGGGATCAGGCTGGCTGGGAAGCCCTTATCACACCCAAGTAAAAGGTAATTAGGCCTTGATTGCAGGCCAGGAGGGCAGGTCGGGCAGGAGAGCCAGCAAGGTGGGAAAATTGACAAAACAAATACATTAAGCTCTCCTTGCTCCATTTCTGATGTGGGCACCTTTATCCCCATAAATCATTTCCTGGAGATCTTCCCCACTGACCTGCTGCATTACTCAATCTCCTCTGTAATCCCTTTGTCTCAGTTGCATCATATTGGATGTGATTATTTTAAGGCTCCTAACAGGTACTGCCAAAGGAATAATCTCTGCCTTTTGAAGCGAGTTACTTAAGCCCAGAGTCTTTTCACTGGAAATCGTGAATCAAGACCAGTTACTGAATTTGTGGGGCCAGGTGCAGAATGAAAACGCAAGGCCCCATGTTAAGAATTCCAAGACCATGACTGTCATGGATTGAATTATGTCCCCCCAAAAATGTGTGTGTCAATTTCGCTGGGCCATGATTCCTGGTATTGTGTGATTTTCCTATATGTTGTACATCCTGCCTCTATGATGTTAATGAGGGAAGATGGGTGGCAGTTGTGTTAGTAAGGCAGTTGTATTAGTGACAAAATTATATTTGTCATCTTTTACCAAAAACATACTTTTCTCTTGTGAACTTCTTAGGGACATTATTTACCTTGGTCAAGCTGTGTGCACCTCACCCACATTCGATGCTACCTTTCCCATCACCAAAAATAACAAGTCCCCCCCAATCCCTGGCAATCACAAATGAGTGTTGGTCTCTCTCTCTCTGTATCTATCCTTGTCTTCTTATAAAAGTGTGATCGTACAATATTTGTCCTTTCGTGACTGAATTATTTCACTCAGCATAATGTCCTCCATATTCATCCATGTTATAATATGTTTTGAGGACACATCATTATTCTTTATAGCTGCATAGTATCACATTGTGTTATCTACTACATTTCTTTTATTCATTCAGTCCCCAGGCAGAACTCAGTCTACAAGACTGGATTGTGTCCTGAGGCAATCTCTTGAGATCTAAAAGAGAGAAGTGAGCAGAGACACAGGGGGACCTCATACCACCAGAAAAGCAGTGCCAGGAGCAGAGCGTGTCCTTTGGACCCCGGGTCCCTGTGCGCAGAAGCTCCTAGTCCGGGGGAACATTGATGAGAAGGCTGACAGAAAGAGAAAACCTTCCCCTGGAGCTGTCGGCCTGAATTTGGACTTTTAGCCTACTTTATGTGAAGAAATAAGTTTGTCTTTGTTAAAGCCATCCACTTGTGGCCTTTCTGCTATAGCAGCACTAGACGACTAAGACAGAATTACCGTGACCAAGAAAAAACAGAAGAACAAACAAAACCAGTTGCCGTCGAGTTGACTTTGACTCAGGGTGACCCCGTGTGTGTCAGAGTAGAACTGTGCTCCGTGGGGGTTTCAGTGGCTGAGTTTTCAGAAGTAGATCGACAGGCCTTCCTTTCAAGGAAGGGGCCCTGGTGGCACAGTTGTTAAGGGCTTGGCTGCTAACCAAAAGGTTGGCAGTTTGAACCCACCAGCTGTTCCGTGGGACAAGGATGTGGCAATCTGCTTCCATAAAGATTATAGCCTTGGAAACCCTATGGGGCAGTTCTACTCTGACCTATAGAGTTGCTATGAGTTAGAGTTGACAGTGGGTTTGTTTTTCTTTCAGGGCACCTCTGGGTGGACTCTACCCTCCAACGTTTAAGTTAGGAGCCGAGCACATTAACCGTTTGCAGCAGGGACTCCAAATCAGTTGCCATCCAGTTGCTTCCGACTCATGGCAGCCCCACGTGTGCAGAATAAAACTGTGCTCCACAGGGTTTTCTTTTTTCTTTTATTGTGCTTTAGGTGAAAGTTTACAATGCAAGTTAGTTTCTCATTCAGAAATTTATACCCAAGTTGCTTTGTCACATTAGTTGCAATTCCTGCAATGTATCAGCACTTTTTGCTTTCCACCCCAGGTTCCCTGTGTCCGTTCGTCCAGTTTTCCTGTCCCTGCCTTCTCGTCTTTGCTTTTGGGCAAGTGTTGCCCATTTGGTCTCATATACTTGATTGAGCTAAGAAGCACGTTCCTCACATGTGTTATTGTTGATTCTGTAGGCCTGTTGCTGTCAGTCTGTTTTGACTCATAGCAGCCCTACAGAATAGAGTAGAACAGCCCCATAGGGTTTCCAAGGAGCGGCTGGTGGATTCGAACTGCTGACCTTTTGGTTAGCAGCTGAGCTGTTAACCACTGTGCCACCGGGGCTCCATTTGTTTTATAGGCCTGTTTAATCTTTGGCTGAAAGGTGGATTTTGGGAGTGCCTTCAGTTCGAGTTAGCAGGGTGTCCGGGGGCCATAGTCTTAGGGGTTCCTCCAGTCTTGGTCAGACCCGTAAGTCTGGTCTTTTTTTGTGAATTTGAATTTTGTTCTACATTTTTCTGCCCCTCTGTCTGGGACACTCTGTTGTAAGCCCCATCAGAGCAGTTGGTGGTGGTAGCCAGGCAGCACCGTCCTCTGATCTCAGGCCAGTGGAGGCTGTGGTTCATGTGGTCCTTTAGTCCTTTGGACTCAGATTTTCCTGTGTCTTTGGTTTTCTTTATTCTCCTTTGCTCTGGATGGGATGGGACCAATAGATGTATCTTAGCTGGCTGCTCGCAAGCTAAGACCCCAGATGCTACTCACCAAAGTAGGATGTAGAACATTTTCTCTGTGAACTATGGCATACCAATTGACCTAGATGTCCCCTGAGAGCATGGTCCCTGTCCATAGGGTTTTCAGTGGCTGGTTTTTGGGCAGGAGATTGCCAGGACTTTCTTCTGAGGCGCCTCTGGGTAGACTCAAGCCTCTAACCTTTCAGTGAGTGGCTGAGTGCTTTAACTGCTTACGCTACTAGGGCAGAGACCAAGGCTGGCGACGGCAGAGCTTTCTGGGGCCCTTCTGAGCGTGGGGCCCTAGGTGACTGCTTGGGTCACATGCCCATAAAGCTGGCCCTTGCCACTGATCCTTATAATCTACACGTGATGTGTTTGCTCACCTGTCCTGTTTTCCCTTCCAGTGTGTCCTGGCATGGATATTCGGAACAACCTCACCCGGCTGCATGAGCTGGAGAACTGTTCTGTCATCGAAGGACATTTGCAGATATTGTTGATGTTTAAAACGAGGCCTGAAGATTTCCGAGACCTCAGTTTCCCCAAACTTATCATGATCACTGACTACTTGCTGCTCTTCCGGGTTTACGGGCTCGAGAGCCTCAAGGACCTGTTCCCTAACCTCACGGTCATCCGAGGCTCGCGTCTCTTCTTCAACTATGCGCTGGTCATCTTCGAGATGGTGCACCTGAAGGAGCTTGGCCTCTACAACCTGATGAACATCACCCGGGGGGCTGTCCGCATCGAGAAGAACAACGAGCTGTGCTACCTGGCCACCATCGACTGGTCACGCATCCTGGATTCCGTGGAGGATAATTACATTGTTCTGAACAAAGACGACAATGAGGAGTGTGGGGACATCTGCCCAGGCACCGCCAAGGGCAAGACCAACTGCCCAGCCACCGTCATCAATGGGCAGTTTGTTGAGCGGTGTTGGACCCACAGCCACTGCCAGAAAGGTATGTTGGGGATGCAGTGTTACGAAAGGTTTCCCATGCCTTGTTCTAGAAGGCATGGCCCTTAGGGTTGGGGGCAAGAATCTGTGGCATTTGGATGGATCCAGGTAGAGCCATTCACCAGACCAGGGCTTGACAAATATTTTCTGTAAAGGCTTAGATAGTAAATACTTCAGACTATTCAGGCCATCTGATCTCTGGCACAACTACTCAACTTTGCCATTATAGCAGGGAAGCAGTCTTAGACACGTAAACAAATGGGCCTGGCTGTGTTTCAATAAAACTTTATTTATAAAAACAAGTGGTGGGCTGGATTGCGCCTGGTGGAGGCTGTGGTTCATGTGGTCCTTTAGTCTTTTGGACTAATATTTTCCTTGTGTCTTTGGTTTTCTTCATTCTCCTGTGGGTCGTAATAGTTTGCCAACTTGTGTGCTAGACAGTTGAATGTTCCTTTTACTTGGGAGATGAGTAGGAATGGAAAATTATGGCCTTTAAAAAAAAGAGTTTGTTTCTTATCCGATCATAGAAGTAAAATTGCTCATGATAGACATTTGGAAAAAGATAGAAATGTGCAAACAAAAAAACAGTCATTATTCCACAATTGAAATTGCTGATAGTGGTTTGTTGAAGGTACTTCCTTATAGTGGGTGTTTGATAGAATGGTTGTCTTAATTTACTTTATTGTCTCTCTTGTTGGGTGTATAGATTATTTTCAGTTTTCACGAGGAGGGGGATATGCATTTTTGGGCCTAAGCTTTCTCTAGCATTGGTTTTCTTTAGACTTGCTTTCCAGAAGTGAAATTTCTGGGGCAAAGGCACTTGATTCCGATTGCCAAATGACTTTCCGGAAATATCGTTCCAAGGGATGCCCCTCCTAGCCTTGGATGAGGGAACACCTTGGCCAGCTTTGAGGCTCTTTCATAATTTGCTGGGGCAGGGAGGTGCTGATGTGTTTTCCTCGTTTATGTTTGCATTTCTTTGATTGCTATCGGGGTTGAACCTTTGACAAAAAAAAGTTTGTCATTTGCGTTTTCTCTTCCTGTTCTTATCCCTTATCCATTTATTTTTTAGTACCTTAGTGGTTTTGAAAAATTAATCCATAGGTGGTTTTGTCAATTTTGTGTTCAGATGTTTTGTTGAGTTTGCTCTGGATGTCTTTACCAGAGGAGCTTACAATGTTCATGGAGTTCAGAGCTGAGCTTTTGCAGGTCCTTTTTGTTACTTTACGGGTCCCTGGGTAGTATATATGGTTTGTGCTCGACTACTAGTGTCATGGATTGAATTGTGTCCCCCCAAAATATGTTTTAATTTGGCTAGGCCATGATTCCCAGTATTGTGTGATTGTCCACCATTTTGTCATCTGATGTGATCTTCCTATGCATTGTACATCCTGCCTGTATGATGTTAATGAGGCAGGATTAGAGGCAGTTATGTTAATGAGGCAGGACTCAGTCTATAAGATTTGGTCGGATCTTGAGTCAGTCTCTTTCGAGATATAAAAGAGAGAAGTGAGCAGAGAGATAGGGGGACCTTGTTACCACTGAGTGAGAAGAGTCAGGAGGGTGTGTGTCTTTTGGACCCAGGGTCCCTGTGTTGAGAAGCTCCTAGACCAGGGGAAGATTGATGACCAGTGTCTTACCCCAGAGCTGACTAGAGAGAGAAAACCTTCTCCTGGAGCTGGTACCTGGAATTCGGACTTCTAGCCTCCTAGACTGTGAAAGAATAAATTTCTGTTTGTTGAAGCCATCCACTTGTGGTATTTCTGTTATGGCAGCACTAGATGACTAAGACAACTAGCCTTAAAGGCTGGCGGTCAAGCCCACCCAGTGGTGCTGCAGAAGAAAGGCCTGGTGATCTGCTTCCGTAAAGATTACAGCCAAGAAAACCCTAAGGAATGATTCTATTCTGTAGCGCATGGGGTTGCCATGAGTCAGAATCGACACGACAGTAATGAGTTTGGTTTTGATTTCTGTTGCTTTATGCTTTAAAGCCTTTTCTGTCCATAAAATATTTTCCTGGTTTTCTATTTTAATTTTAATCATTAAAAAAAAAATCGTCCAGAACATTTGGGATTTGTTTGTGCACATAATTTGAAGGAGATGTCCATTTTTTCCTGCATAACTAGTTGGGGTTCCAGCACTATGCATTGCAGAAATCTGTACCTCTTCATCATTGATTCAGGGTCTGTTTCTGGGCACCTGTTGATATGTCTGCTTCTCACCCCTTCATCATTGATTCAGGGTCTGTTTCTGGGCACCTGTTGATATGTCTGCTTCTCGTTGTACCAGTGTTATGTTGTTCGAACCATTATAGCTTTATAATGTGTTTTAATTATTATTGTGGTGAAAATAAACACAACAAAAAATTCTCTAATTCAACAATTTCTACATGTGTAATTCAGTGACATTGATTACATTACGTTCTTCATGTTGTGCAGCCCTGATCGCTGTCTTTTCCAAGTTATTCCACCACCATTTGTAGCTTTATAATGTTTTGACCTCCAGGAAGGCAGCTGCCACACACAGACCTATTACTCATTTATTATTGCATGGATCCTTCCACATGTTGTGAAATTTTTCGGGGAGGAATTAGTGAATGTGATTGAAGTGGGTGTCTTAAGGATTATATAACGAAAGATAGGGGAAGGGAGGAAGAAGGGTCTTTTTACCTGAGTTGAAAACTGGGAAGCCACAGAGGTTGAGTCATGAGTAGAATCCTTGGGATTTTCAGTGAGGACTCCATGGGAGCCCTGTAGAGGAACCCTCTCCACATCTCAGATGCTGGATGGCAGTGAGTGGGAGGTGAGCGTGTTGAGGAATGGAGTAGAGCACACACCTCTTTTGAGAGATGGGACAGGGAAGGGAAAGAGGATGTGGTTGTTTGTGGTAGTGGTGATTCTGGGGAGGGGCCAGTGACTATCGTACCATGGAAAAATCTTGAGAATCCTGGCAGGTCAAGGACCCAGAGAAGCTAAGCTATGAATGACTGAGAAGGAGGATCATGGTTGGGGCAAGGTGCTGGCAGAAGGAGTGAGACCACCCGTAGATTTGGAGTTTTGTAGAACGGGGAAACTGCTGAGATGGGGGTTGGGTGTGTGTGAATAAGCAGGGTCGGACGACATTTAGATAAATTTGGAGATGGTTGGCATTCTCTGATGGTAAGAGAGAAGAGGTTGTGTAGGACCTACTCTGTGAGGGTGCACAGCTGTAAGGGGGAGTACTGTGGTCCTTGTTTAGAGACCAGAGAGGCTGTTTAACTTGCCCAAGGCCACACAGCTTATAAAAGAGCTAGGGTTTGCGCCGAGTCTGAGACATAAAAAAACCATGTGTTATGAAAACCGCAGTGAGATACTACGTCACACCCAATTTGTTGTTGTTGTTAGTTGCTGTTGAGTCGGCTGCGACTCACGGTGACCCCACATACCACAGAATGAGATGCTGCCTGGTCCTGTGCCATCTTTACAATTGTTGGTGTGCTCAAGTCCATTGTTGCGGCCACTGTTATTTTGAGGGCATCCCAACCTAGGGGGCTTATCTTCAAGCACTATATCAGACAATGTTCTGTTGTGATGCATAGGGTTTTCCTGGGCTAATTTTTGGAAGTTGATTGCCAGGCCTTTCTTCCTAGTCTGTCTTAGTCTGGAAGCTCTGCTGAAGCTTGTGAGAATGGCTATTATCAGAGAAACAGAAAATAAATAACAAGTGTCGGCAAGGATGTGGAGCAGCTGGAACCTCCATACGTAGTTGGTGGGAATATAAAATGGTGCAGCCACTGTGGAAAATAATTTGGCAGTTCCTCAGAAAGTTAAACACAGAATTACCATACGACCCAGCAGTTCCACTCCTAGATAGATACCCAGAAGAACCGAAAGCAGGAACTCAAACAGATACTTATACACCCACGTTCGCTGCAGCATTGTTTATACTACCTGAAAGGCGAAAACAACCCAGCTGTCCATCAGCAGTTGAACAGATGAACGAAGATGTGGTACATATATGCAGTGGAATATTATTCAGCTATAAAGAGAAAGGAAGTCCTGATGCATGCCACAACATGGATGAACCTTGAAAACAGCATGCGGAGTGAAATAAGCCAGACACAAAAGGACGAGTATTGTATGATCCCACTCGTATGAGGTACCTAGAACAGGCAAATACATAGAGAGCAAAGTTTATTAGTGCTTCCCAGGGCCTGGGTAGAGGGGGATGATGGGGAGTTATTGCTTAAGGGATACTGAATTTCTGTTTGGGATGTTGAAAAATTTTGGAAATAGTGGTGATGGTAATTAATGTCACTGAATTGTACACTTGAAAATGGTTAGAACGGCAAAAAAGCATGCTTTTTCTGGGTGTCCACTCTGTTTAGAAATGGGGGAGGCACATCTAGCTGGGGGGCCAGGGGAAACGGGAAACTTTTTTTTTAGTCCAACGCTGAGTTCTCCCAGTTGAGTTGCTTGTTGGAAATGAGTCTTGAGACATAATTGGGGACATTCCTCAGTGGATTAATTTCTGCATCCGTTTTCATCAAAATAAACAGAGCCGTGCTCTCAGCGGTCCAGCGCACTGCTTACGATCATTGTCCATCCCTTGATGTTTTGAGCAGGCTTTTATCTTTGGCTCTCAAGAACGGGCTTGTTTTTCCAGGGCTGGGAGTTACATCATGGGCACGGCAGGGGAGGTGCGGCCGCAGGAGTGCTCCCCCTGGCACCTGCTGGGGTACAGCATCCCTGACGTCTGGGCTTGGGTTGTTGTCAGTGGCGGGATCACTCAGGTGAGGCCCCTGTGTCCTGGCAACAGGTGTCAGGAAGTGATTGTTCTTTGATCTGTCGTTCCTGCCTGTGGAGGAAGACCCAGCTACTGTGTTTTAAATGCTTACGTCAGCCTTGCTGCTGTGGTTTTTAGAAGGCTTATTGAACGTCGAAGTTCCCTGGCAAAGGGTGTGTGCTCAGCTGCTAACTGAAAAGCTGGCAGTTCGAACTCACCCAGCATCACTGCGGAAGAAAGGCCTGGTGATCTAAAAAGTCAGCCCTTGAAAACATATGGAGCACAGTTCTGCTGTGACACACGTGGTGTCACCAGGAGTCGGAGTCAACTGGAGGGCCCCTGGTTTTAGTGTGGACTGACCCCCTGTGGCCTGAGAGACCCACCTTCCGCACCCAGCACACGGATTTGGGTGAAGGTGCTGGGAGAGGCTGACTGCAAGGACCCCTGGGCAGACAGTGGAGACGGCTTCTAGAGAAGTCAGACCACTTAACGTGTTTATTGAGACACTACTATGTGCCAGAGGAGCCCTGGTGGCGCAACGGTTAAGCGCTCAGCTACCAATGGAAAGGTTGGTCTTTCGAACCTGCCCAGTGGCTTGGCAGGAGAAAGACCTGGCGATCTGCTCCTGTAAAGATTACAGCCTAGGAAACCCTATGGGGCAGTTCTGCTCTGTCCCACGGGGTTGGTATGAGTTGAAAATCGACCTGACAGCACCCAGTAACAACTCTGTGCTAGGCAGTGGGTGCTGAGGGCAACAGGACACTGCTCCCAGCCTCCTCGAAGCACACCGCCTAGTGGCAAATGCAGACATTGAATATGTGACTAAGTACATTGGGGGAAGAGTTACAGGTTGATCCCAAGGGATGGAACTAGTCTTCGGGGTCAGGGAATAAACATCTCCCCCAAAGAATTGGGGTGTCATTAAGGCCCCGAAGGTTGACCTGTTTCTGAATGCCTATGAGAATTGTTCAGAGTCAGGCCAAACTGGATTGGAGCTCTGTTTTGTCTTCTCCTGGTCGTGAGCTGGATGAAGCCTCAGTTTTCTTATCTGAAAAATGGGTATAATTATGGGACCTTAGAATTGTGATTTGGAGAGGTTAAAGGAGACGATACAGGGAGTGCACTTAGCCCAGCACCTGGCTCTCCATGAGTGTTCTGGATGCATGCATGATGGAAATAATGAAGTTTCTAGTAAGCGCCGTGGCCCCCTCCTTTCTGGGCAGACCTCGTGTGTGACCTTCATCTTGGGCAGCAGAGGAAAGACCACTGTGTGACCTGTGGATGAGGGGTGCATGCTGGAATTGCAGCTTGGAGGGAGGACCACCCTGCTTACCCAATACCACAGTTTTTGATGCTTGAGGAATCCCCGGCTCTGGGATTTTTTGTGGGGGGCGGGGTGGGGACCAGAAGCCACAGGGTTTGCCTAATCAGCTGCTCTAGCCAAAACCACTGGTATTTTCTTTTTCAGA